GAAATAGTCTTCATGAAATCTGTTTGACAATAATTACACTTCACGTTTAGTTTATGTCATAATTTAAAGACGTAACTATTAAAATATGTGGATGTTTTAAAAAAAATTAAATTCGGTAAACCGAATAGTTTAATTATAATTTTCTTTTTATTGTCATTCGTTGAACAATTAAAACATTATTGAGAACTGTGTTAACAGTATTATAATTAAGTGATTTACATTAAAACAACCCTATTTTACTGCAAGTATCTATTCATCATTTTAGTCTACTAATCTGCTCTACGTTTAGTTACATTGATGATTCCGATTAGAGTACCAACAACAAATTGTTTATAATGAATTTAAATTAAACTCAAATATAAAAATAATTAATTATATAAGTAGTGAAAATAAAATAAACTGAGTTAAGCGAAAAGTAGTGAATCACTGATAAAAAAAGTGTACATGGTTGGTGGAATTGTTTAAAACTACCTTATTTTGTCAAAGCGAATAATTGTAGTAAATTCATTACGTGTCAATGGTAATACTTAATTCACCAACGAAAAAGAAACCAGTATATTCTGAGGTACTTGTTCTTTATCTAGGCAGGTGTCGTTTATCTGGATCAACTGTCAGTCAGACTTTAAATACATTTCAGTCAATGAATAGAATTCATCACACATACTATTATCTGATCTTATTTAATCTAATAAGATGTATAGCCACAGATATTCGTCATGATGATCAAAATCTGACGTTAAACGAACTGTTGAGTAAGTAACCTTATTCAAGCTATTCAATAAAAGACATTTACAATAGGAATCAAATTTTTATTTCTCAATTGGACATTTCTTGTGGATATCGGTTTTAATTGATAGGTTCCCTCCGCTATAGACTGTTCACATCTGGGGTACCGTTGAAGATCAGAAAATACCGGATAGCTTATTCTTCGAATCATGGGACTTCTCAATACTAAATACCTACAAACACGCCAAGAATTGAATCCAACAAAACCGTCAGATCCCGCGGTGAACATTTAACTGTTGTAACCACTAAGTAAGCCTCCAATGGTACAGTCCCAACTTTAGTCGGTCTGTGACCTAGCTAAACTATCCGTAGTGTGTTTGCGACTATCCACTACTGAGGTTTCCTACACTAGTGTGAAACGTGTGTCCAGAGTTCCGTAATCCTCAATGAGAACTTTAGCGAGATCAGTCTGTAACGAACAAAACCTACAGATGTTCATTTGATTTGTTTGTTCGTTAAGTTCAAACGATCAGAATACTATAACATATTATTTCACTAGTCATTAATTTTAAATTCTGTTAGGTTATCCTAAATAATAATTTGGGCTTGGCTTCTAATTTTAATCATTATTCTTATAGTTATCAAGCGACCATAGGCCACTTATAAATAGATTATTTATAAGTTGAAGCTAATAGTCAGATAGGTTCTATACTATTTTCTCTGAAAATCATTAAGTGAACTGAAATGTAAATTATATTAAAGAGCGGAGGACACATTAGTGGAATTGATTTCCAGAAACTGCCTAGCTGAATGATTTCCTTTCTTCATATAAACTATATATCTCATTTCTAGTCTTATCTAATATTTCAAGTTATTCATTTTTATTCTTATCAGTTAATATTGTTTCCTATTTATTTCACGATGTTCATTTTTGTAAGAAAAAACAATTATTCCTGTTTTTGCATGCATAATATATGATGATGATGAAACCAGAAAAATAATCTTTTTCCGTAAAAAGCAAACAGTCGAAGCAAAGAATATATTGTTTTTTCTCTCCCCCTCTTTAATGGATATATATATATATATATACCTATTCTCTGTGATACTTCTTACATTCACTTTTTTATTTCTCACCTTTAAACCTAACAAAGTTTAATGTTGATCCAATATAAAAAGAATTACTATTGTGTTACATATGGTACCTACCGCAATTTATTGTTTATTTGCTTTCTCCATCGGTCTTGCATCTAATTTAGTAACATGTTTATTTAATTCATAATATGTAAAGAGAAAAAAAGAGAGGTATGGAAAGAGAGAGGGAGTGGAAGTGAGATAGCTGAATAGAACAAACAATAAAAATGTATTTGAACTTTTACAATTTGGTACATTAACTGGATATTACCATAGAAAATGAAAAAAAATCTTCATTTATAGAATACAAATTATTGTTGTTATTATTATTCTACATTGTAATCAATTGTAATTAAGTAACAATATACATATATACAAGTATGTGTCTAATTGTGGAAATTAACGAAAGTATAAATGTTACGAAAGAAAATTAATTCTTTATTTCAATAGATTTTCATCTAATTCAAAATAGTCATAAGTTTGTTGCCAAATTTAAAATAAAGACATTATCATATTTATAAAGGCTTCCATTGTGTGCATGTACTTACATTGCCATTTTGGATGTTTAAACTGAAACTAAATCCCTGGTATCTTTCTTTTCAAATGTCATTGTATTGACGATTGATCTAAGGAGTTCAGATAGCTACTGGCATGTGCAACGAATGGATCATTTTTTGTGATTCGGTAGCAAGTTTTTATTGAAGCAGTATGAAAGCTAACAGTTAAATTCAGGATATGTGTTTCGTCTTATCTGAAATTCATTAGTCGGGTTTACCTGAACCTTAGTGTTGTTTTCTACACTGAAACTCGAAATCAATAGCGTTTGCCTCAAATGCTAATGTGATATCTAAGAACCACTGAGTTCAGAGAGCCAATAGCTTGGGTGATGAGTATAAACTGCATATGTAAGTGTTTGTTTTACAAAAACATTTGGCTAATTGGTACTATCGAATGAATCCGCTTACGATCACATATGTCATTAGGGACAGATCAGCTGAAAGTTTTAACTTCAACAACAGGAAAATGCAAACCCTTATAAATGAAATTTACTCTGCTTAAACATACTACTGGCTAACTGAACACCGGAGATCAATGTTTGACTCATTGATGTTTGAAGCGAAAGATAGTGAGTTCAAAACTTAGTATGAATATCAACAGTGGGAATGTGTGTGCATACAGCTACTGAGTTCCTTGTAAAATAAAACTCCTCTCTTCGAATATATTACAAGCCACTTTTTAATAGATACGAAATATATATTAAGCAGACTTGTACTCACAGTATATTTGTTATTGCTATACTGCTTCCGTATTCCCTATAATCCACACGATAGATATTTCAGTAAATTTGTTTGTATCAATAATTTTTGGTAAGTAGCTGTTTCATTCTCGTACATGATTCATCAACAGCGTACACTGACGACTACATTCAAGATCAAATTTAAGAGCTTTGATTCGTTTGGCGAGTTCTTCACATTCAAACTGTTAAGTTGAGGCTCATTTGTTTGTATTTCTAAATCTAGAGAAATCAAAATATTCCATAGGCATGATGCACCTATAGTATATTAAGAAATGAAATCTTTTCAGTTTTATATGAATGAAAACATTTCAATTTAATTTTACTATTTCCTGTATTTATCTTTTTAAGATGTCTTCTGTTCTATTCTAATCACCTGATATTCTTTTATCAGTGAAGTCATTAAATCTTAGTAGTAAGAAACAAATTCATGATATTTTATTAGATAGGAACAAATGTTTCTATTATTTGAATATCAGTCCAATGATAATAACACTCACCTTTTGCATAATGTATGCAACAAGATATAATTTTTAATTTTATTCATCATTTAACAGTCTGTAATTGGTGTTTGTCATACATTTACTTTCTTTGTTATATATTTGGAAATTTTAATGAAAACTAAACAGATGTTTCTAAACTCAGTTAAGACTGTTAATCATTGCTCTAAATGCTTAACTTGAAAAATTCACTAACCTTATGGGAGAATATCAGTTTATAATTGCTTAAATAATTCAAAATGTTTGTTATACTCAAAAAACGTTTTTTCATAGGAAATTCACTGATCTAAATGATAGTGAGAATTTATAACACATGATTTGTATCTGGAATAGACGTATTATGACTGGAAGTCTAATCCTAGAGACGTGTTCATTCTTATTTGACACTTGTCACCTGGATGTACCCGCATCGCAGTTCTAATGTTTACTAACTTAATAGTTATGGAGAAACAATCCTCACAGGATGTACATATCTTAGCACAGTCCTTAGCATCAACTATGGGATAACCTAAGCACTTACTAGGAATGATATATACAATTTTTATCTTATGTTGACTGACGAATTTATAAGGAAGACTAGTGGTTCAAAAGAAATACAATAACTATTGCATGTTATTTCAATGGTAAAAGTCTGAGGTCTTAACTGAGCAATCCGTTAGGTTTATTTACTGACGATTTTTTTCCACCTTCTTTTAATCAACTGTGAAAATCGTTTTATGAAGAGGATTCTGAAGTTATATAATATTTACGACTTTTTAATACTTAATTGTCAAAACATTACAAGGTATATCTACAGTCTCGAAGGTAACTATTAAACTTTGTTACTAGGGTTCACAATCTTACACTGAGACTCAGTTTGTTTAAGACAGCAATTACGCCCTGTTAATCACCACGAAATCTTGGTTATATAGGGTTTCCTACTGATTGATTCTAACAAACTAACATCCCAATATAGTGGACGCAAAGTTGAGTCACTTAGACTAGAGGCCTCACCGGAACTTGATTAATAGAATTCAGTAATTACTAATGGCTGAAAAATTCCCATTATATTACTAATGGATTAGACAACCATGACACTGAGTAATACTTAGTAACCAATCGGTAGTAGGTTTTAATATTTAATTGGTAATACTTATTAACCACTAAACACAGTTTAGGTTTACTCTTCACTACTGAATTCTTCAAGCCTCCTTAACAACAAATCACCTATGTGAATAAGATGGATGGTATTCTGTTTCAATATTGAACTCAGCTATAGTGGCTAGTAAATGTAATTTAAAACAGAACAAGTTTTACGAGTTAATTACATGATACCTTTACTTCTAAGCTTAAAAAATAAAACTAATAAATTTAAATTTATTTATTTTTATTTCAATTAGACACTCAGTTCATTTCAATTGTTTCAATCAAAATGTATTAAATGTATTAAACGTTTTAAGATGCAGTTGTTTTCTTTACTACCATTCACAGCTTAATTTAAAATTCCCTCTGAAATATTCATTCTTGTAAGTCGCCTCGATCGATTTCTGCAATGTAAATGAATTAGAATAAAGTCAAATTACAATTATGAAAATAATTTATTACGTCAGAATTTATGATATAATATTGCACATATTCATTCTATTTTATTAATGAGAACGAAATTAAGGCAGAGATTTGTTGTATCGGTTATGTGTAGTTAGTTACTTGATTGTGGAATGTTATGTCATAACCGAGGATTAATTTAATTTATCCATATTTCTTAAACTCTTTCAAATAAACACATTACATACATCGTATCATATATATATACTATTTTATAAACTTTATTTATACGAAAAGGAAAACCACTCTTCTGTGGTGTATAGGTTAATACTTTTATTAATTTTTATTGAATTCCATAGGCTTGATTCTACGGAAGAATTTTCAATACTAAAAATCCAATACTGCTATAAATATTTATTTTTGCCATGGAGATATACCATTTATAACTGCCTAAACATATATTAACAGTGTTTACTCATAATTTATCTTCAGTTGCAGAATTATTCAAGTCAGTTAGTCATCATCTGCGAAAAGTCTGACAAATATACAATGACCTGAGTTGTCATTATCAAACTGGCACGATAAGATGAAGTTAGAACGATGGATAGTAAACAAGTTGAGATAATCATGGTGAAAATGATAATGAAATAGACTGAAAATTGGGAGTATGATTCACGTAGAAGGAAATGAAAAGGTACATATAAAAAATATCATAAGTGAAGATCGAGAGGAATAAAAATAGGAAATACATCTTCGCCATTATGACACGTTCTTGAACGACGTTACGCAACAACTTAAACCAGGCAATCTGGATCTACTAAAATGAAATTTTTCGCTCATTCTTGAACCGCGTAGCACGTTTAATGCATGAATTCTAATATATTCTCTACATATCTCTTCAAGGGATCCATATGAAGGAAAATCTACCAACCGTTCTGCCGTTTTCATTTAGATTTATTAGTTTCACGACAGGTTTCGTGCTTTCAACAAAAGTGAATGTATTTTGTGTGTTATACCAAATTCGTTTCGTAGTTTCAAAATACAAACCCTAAATATCTGATCAGGCAGTGAAATCAAGTATACAGCTTAGCAGTTCTAATTACCAGCAAAATAATGCACGTTGACCAAGATATCATGACCTACCGAGTTGTTATCTAAGTATATGAAGAAAGCTTGGTAAGTAGTGTGTCTTAGCTAGCTTACAAGCTCTATTTTAACTTCAAAATCGTTAAAAATATACAAATAGAAAACCGTCACGAGAGATCAATTTACTTTTCAATCCTAAACACACATATTTTTTAAGGCTTACTTGACAGGTTGTGTACTTTCAGCCATTATAGAAGCGTTTAAATTCAATAAATAATCTTCATTACTTCTACCTGACCAACTTAACTCATCGATTAATTCTTGTGGTGTAGGTCCTGGATCATTAATACATGCATTTGGTTGGATTGCTTGTGTTCTTAGTTTACTGTAATTTGAAAAAAAGAAAACAGATGATATGTTAAAATTTACGGATATTAACATGCTCTGTTGATGTTATTTTTGGACGTAAATCGATTGTTTGTTATAGACGCTTCTAACTACTTAATATTGAACGGCATTCACTATGATTTCGAGTCACTTGATCCTGGTGTCAGCATTGCAACCTGATTGGTAGTATTTACTAGGAACTAACGATCAGATAATAAAACACTGAGTTTATTCTTCGATAAATTGTTCTATCTATCTATCTATCAATTTTTTCTGGATATGTTTAACTGTCTTGTGCTTGGTATTGGAGACCCAAGTACACAAAAAACACAAAGACTACTGATATGAATTTACTTGACCACCAAAGTAAATAAAAATGATTTATAAATACAATACTTTTGCTTACAGTCAGATTTGTACAAATTGAACTGGGTAATCTTTAACACCAATACATCAATAACTTACTATGTGATCAAATATTTTATATTGATAGGTTTTTACGTTGACTTGATTTTACTTTTTTAGTCTCGCCATATCATAAATGATTAATGAAGATTGATTATAAACGTTGCTAGAGGATGTTGTGAAAACTCTAGGATTTGTATTTCCACACCACACACTAAATTCAGTTCGTCAACCAATGAAAAGTAAGGAAAATAACGGACAGTTATTTTGTCTCAGTATTGGGCTCTACAACAATGTGCGTACACGACGGCATGGAAGTCCTAATTCTGAACTATGACTGTTAATCTACAGGACCATATGAATAGACAGGTTCTTTCTCATTATACAACGACGAAGATAATTTCTGGAGTTGTGATAAAGGGTGAACCTATTGCTAAGTAACTGATTTCAGTATTATTGAAGAAGATAAAAGTGTGATAACAATAGTAAATTGATTTTATGTGTAAATGCTAGAAAATGGAAGATATTTATGAACAACTTGGATGACATAAACATCATGTAATCATATGAACGTATCTGTTTATCAATGAATTTTTTGATGTGTCTTTTTTTGTTTCTGTACTAAAGCTGTTATCTTGGTTCAACATAATTTTGAGTGGAGGCAATCAACTCATCACGATGTAGAGAATACGATTTTGTTCATTCTTCTTACACTGGTTCATAATTTTATCAACTGAAGTACTTTCCTTAATCTGAGTTTAAGATGTTGAATTATTACACCTCAAGTGGTTATATTATTAAATTTTAGAGATTTTCTAAATAGTCGAATACCACTATTTTAACCAATGGCATATGCAAATATGCCATGAGATATGTTATGATCAGTGGAGTTCAGTCATGCCGGATGTGAGAAAGTCAGTCACTAAGAACATGTAATGATGATTGTTCGACATTATATTTTACTTGAAGTTGAGCTTGCAAAGTGATGCCGAGTCAGTGTTCAAATGTTAAGCATTAATCACAGGGCTTGAAGGTTCATGTTTCGATCCGTGATGGAGTCGGAGATACAAACTGCGGTGGAATCCAATATTATGACGAAACAGCTGTCCATTGCTTCCTGGTTTTTCAATGACTGTCTAACTAAGTCCATTCGGTATTTTCACTATAATGACCCATGAGTTCTGCTAAATCAAGGAAATAATCTGTTAAACTGGCTGATTCCGTGATAATGTATAATCATAATGAACAGTATAGCCGAGAAATCAGACATGATTGGTGATCTATCTAATATGTTATGATTATTATTTGAATGTATTATTATTGACCGTACTGTCACGAAAAAGGAATTCATGTTAGTCACAAATCCATAATCTTCATTCATTCTTAGCGAATCTTATATTTCAATTCTTGTAACCTTAAATAATAATGAATCATTCAAGACATAATTAGCTGAAAGTACGGTCCTTTCTTTATCAGTTTTCTATAACATTTTGGTTTAAAAGATAATTAATGAACAATTTCTATGATCTTTTCACCTTCCTATTATATCCACTCAATGATCAGTGATTGGCTTTCATGAAATTTTTGAAAATAAAATTCCCCATTAAATGATATTGTAAATAACCATTAGGTAAGACACTGTTTATGGTTTCTTTTTATTATTTAATTCAGAACCTTGAAAGCCGGAATGAGTAATCTACAAAATAACAATTTACCGTAGCAATTGTGTCAAGTTTGGTTGTAAACCATTCATTTCATTATAAGTAAAGGTGGATGATGGCTATCAGTGAAATCCAGGACGTAAATTTTGTCTTAGTTGGGGCTCGTCATTTTGATAGGTGTTCAGATGATGTTAATATGATCTGCCGAGGACAAATAGGAATTAACTCAATAGTGTTGTTTAGAGGACTTTGTGTTGATTGATTTCATTTGTAGGTTGTATTCGACACATCGATTTCAGCTAGTGTATCGTCGTAAATCAGAATGCATCAGACAGCTGTTTCATTCTACTATAAGACTCCACACCAAATGGCATTCAAAATCCTACAACAGATCGAACCATGGACCTTCAGGTCTCGCCATTCATGCTACTAAGTTAGTGCTCAGTGATTCGATTTCAAGACCAATCAATTTACGAAATATCTCGATAATCATCTAATGTCACTGTTGTAACAGTTGTTTAGTTTCTGATACTTATGGACTCCACTGGTTGAACGTTCGGCGAGAATATAATTTATGGACGAACCAATCAGAAACAAGATAACAGATCTTGAGTTTTGGCGCGAAATTCATTCATACATTTGTCTAGCTAGCGTTTTGGCATTATAACTGATGTCACTTCGTGATGTAAACTATAAATCTAATTCCTAACTCTAACCATCAACTATAAATCGGAATTCTAATTCTCATACAGGTTCATAACCTTCATTCAGTCCTAGTTTGTAGATGGGCATTTTTAAAGTGACTTTCAGATCGCTCAAAGGTCGTCCATTTAATATAGTCTCAACGAACGTTCTCGTAGAAACACGAAGGCCGTGGGTTCTACCACTGACTGGGTCGTGAGTTCTCACTGCAAATACTCAGACGAAACAGTTGTCGAGTGCCCTCTGATTTTCATTGTTACCCCAACGGTAATCAATCTGTATGGACGGTGTTGTGCCGTTAAAGATTCCATTCAATCTCATATCCGATCTCTGATTCCTTAGCCCTTAGCTAAGTGGATCAAAATGTGTCATAGGACTTTGATTTGTTAGAATATTTCAATATGTATCACTAAGTTGTATCCCGCATCATAATAATCTTTATCAGTTAGGTGTCAAAAAAATTATTTTGAGATTTCGATTTCTCTAGTAAAAACTATTTAGAAGATGAATTCCTGATTCATGGATCATTTGAAAGTCAAACACTGATTTTTTTTCTATTATTAGATTAATTTATAATAGTACAAAAAAGTTGTAACTGAAGTAGATATTACTTCAAATAGACTTCTACACAGAAGTAGACGCTGATAATATTATTCAAAACAGTAATGAATACTTCACACTTAATCCATTCACTTTCAGAGAACGCAATACTACCAACAAATTGATATGATTGATACTTCATACTTCTTCATGCTAACCTATTGTTCAATGAATACTGTTTATAAAGTTTTACGTTGAATATAAAAACTGCAGATTTACTTTAACTCAAGTTAACTAGCTAATAAACTATAAAGGCGACTTAATCAATACAACAAAATAAATAATTTACATTTAATTAAGAGTTAAGTAAGGTCATGTGTTTTGGATGATGCTTTCTGAGTTATTTGTCTGCATGCAACTAAACTTAAAAAAGAAAAGTGGTTCATGAGTTTCGTTTCTCATTAATTATTACATGCAGATTATTTAAATTAATTGCTTCCTTACTTTGTCTACATGAATAGAAAAATAAATTAGTTGATCATACATAAGTGTATGACTTCCATGCAATAATAACCGTCACAGTGTATAGTGATTATTACCAATTATTATTAAACAGATAACAAATGAATATCAGATAATAAGTAGTTCTAGCAGTAATAACAATATTAGTAGTAGAAATAGTAGTAGTGATTATCTTTCGTTTGGAGTGAGATATTTATATTGATTGTTCACTAGTTATTGACTAATGTTTAGTTCTTCCTTTAGTGCTAATCGTAAGCTATCAATCATGGTGTAAACTGGTCACTTTTCTAGGTGGCTCAACATTATGTCCACTGTGTTGAAATGTATGGGGGTTTGGTATACAAATAAAAAAATAGTGAAAAACATATACTTCTTGTTTCTACTTTTCTTCACAAATAACTTCCATTCACATTCAAAACAGTCTGTGTAAATAAATTTTATTTTATAATACCTAGCCAATGGATTTGTCTCTTTTTAAGGATATTTATAGGCTTTTTAAGAAAGGATTAGTTCTCGAGGTTGACTATTGATAATCACTGATTAGCATCTCATTTTGTATAATGTGCATGTTCACACAATGTTATCATGTGTCAGTGAAAATTGTTTCTTTCTTTGAAATTCATTTTCGTTGTAAGTTTATCAATGACTGTTTTTTTTAATAACTTATGACTGGTGAATAGAGTTTATCTGATCGACATCGTACGTATAATCATTTAAACATTCCAAAGAGCATTATATGTTTTAATCTCTGCATCAGATTTTAATGGAATTGAATTCAGATTTTACATTGACACCATCCAGGGTAAATTTCCTAATTAAAAACTGTTAGAAGCTTAAAACAACTACAACTGACCCTTCAATTGGATCCCACATTTCAATGAATCTCCAGGTGGCATCACATCACAGTCTGACGTGTAGTCTTGTAATTTACTGTTATTCTACGTATTAACGATAATTAATAACAAAATAAACATGTTTAATCTGCCTATGAAGTTTCCTATAGGAAGATGAAATTTACCTTGGTATAACCTTGGGATTTTAAGCCGTTCTGTATAACCAGAAGACAGCAAAAAAGTGAATGGTTTACTATGTTGGGTTTAGGACTTATGATCAAGATGCAGAGTTAAAGATGCAAGATTTAGAAATAGTTTTACTTATTGTAAAACTT